AAAGTTAACTATAACCGAATAAAAGGAGCCGGCCAAGAGGCCACCTTAACACCAAAAAAAAAAAAAAAAAAAAAAAAGTTTCTCTACATTTATAACTTGATACAGAGGTGAAATAAATAAAAAATTTAAAAATTTTTTATTTAAAAATATATTGCATTACAAGAAAAATTAATGTATTGTATAATCACCTTCAGATTCAATTAGGGTTTTACACAACCTCTCATGCTTCTAACTAAATTTTTACATATTCTTTAGGTAAGCTATTTTATTCCCTTGTTATTTTGCTCTTCAAATAACTAATAGTTCTAATTTTTTTTGTCAAGTTTATTTTCATCAGCCTTCAGATATTTTCAATTGGGTTTTGGTCAAATAACATTGATAGTCAGGGAAAAACCTGAACATCATTTTCTTTCTTTTATATTTTTGCAATTTTGAATGATGCTTTGAATCATTGTTTTTTAGGTTGATCTTTAGTATAGGTAGGCATATATAATTATTATACAATTATAATATATATAAATTAAGCATTTTAAACCAATTTAAGTAATTTTATAACTTATTAGAGTTAGAGTTAAGATTAGAATTTAAATTAGCTCAAATTAATTAGATTTTATATATTATAATCTTGTAATAATTTATATATGCCCACCTATACTAAAGGAGATCTATCTTTTATTTATTAAAATATTCATTAAAAAGGTTTACAACAAAAGGCAAAAAGTCTGTTTTATACAGGGTGATCATATATTGCATATTAAGGTTATGCATAAAGCAGACCAACCTATCAAATTTTTTTAAAAAAAAATAGCCTATATATAAACCTTCAACAGATGCTTAATGAAACAAGTTAATTTTCTTCTTCTAAAAAACTATATACTTTTTTTAGTTATTGTTTTAAGCAAAAGATACTTTCATTGGTAAATATCACAGAATCCTAGTCAAAATTCCTATGTTTCTTTGCTCACAAAAAATATTTTTTTGATGCTTCTGCTCAAGCAAAGGCTTTTAGAGCTTTCTGAAATAGCAGCTTCACTTTTACAAAGATACTGTTGAATAGTATATATGTAAATATTGATATTCTGTTTCATTAGTTTACAGTAGATTTCTGAAGCTGTAATGTCTTTATTTTCTTTTTCTAACTCTAAAATCTGTTTGTCTTGTCTTTAGGTAGTAGCTCTTTAATGGCCTGATCTTGGTTTGTCATTCTTTTTGCTACCTTTTTACCCAATAATATACAAAATTTTTATTACAGTAAACTTGCTTTGCTGTTTCACAAATTGAAAGCTTGGGGCCTTTCAGAGAGGTATTTAAAAAAATAATTTCATATTGTTTATATAAAGAGAGAGATATTTTTTTGGCTAAAATTTTGTATATGATTAAAGCAAATATTTTTACTTTTAAGTCTGCCTGAAGAATATTAATACAATCTGCATATGCAATATACTATATGTGAATAAAATTTTATATACTTACATGTGATTTAGTGAAAGCTAGAAGTACAGAGAAACTTTTATCAGACACTGTACAAATAAAGACTATTCTAATTTATAATCTACTTTTCTTTATATAAAGAATTACTTAGTTATTTAAAATAATTATTTATAAATAGATACAACTCATCTAAGTGGCTTATTTTATCTTATCTAGAATTCTTAACTTTTAAGAATTTAAATCTCAAGAATTTATAATAGATATCTACTGATCTTGTCAAGATTACTGCTCTATATAAAATATCACCAATTTAATAAAACATTTTCTAGCAAAATTTTAAAAAGCAAAAATAGAATAAAAAAAATATGAAAAACTGATAAAAAAAGTCTAAAATACAAATATACAAATAAAAATCTATCTAATAATAGTATCTGCTAACTAAAATATTTATCTACATGATTATAGTATTTATATAGAACTTAACTGTCATAAAAAAGTAAAACTAAGTTAGTTATATTTTGACCTGTACTAAAATATACAAATTATATATATATAATTTTTATTGCTAGACTATATATCTCTTTTTCTCTTTATCACCTAACTTTAAATCTATATTTTATTCTAAGATATAATGAATTATAAACTTTTTATATTCTCACTATCTCTATTTATCTACTATTCAAATTCTTAATCATACAGAGCAATATTTTTAATTTGTAATCAATTTAAATGTTTGTTGTATTTATGTTACAGAATTGCTAAATATAAAAATAGTAAACAATACTAATCTTATAATAAATAATAGCTAAATCCTCCACTTTTTATTAAAATTAATTTTGGAAATATCAAAATAATAAGAAAAAGTTATGATTTTGTGAGTTTTCAACCAAAGAGAATTTTTCTAAGAGTTTATCATATCCTTTCATCTCCAACCTTCTTGAACTTTCTTTTCTACTTGCTATTTTCAGAAACTCCTCTGATTTGGATATCAAATACAAAAGAAAGTCTACCTGCAAAAGAAGATAAACAAGACTTAACCTCTTTACAAACCATCCAAAATACCTGCTTCTTGGTGTATCACATTTAAAAACTTTGTCAACAACAGTTCATATCAAAAAAACTTCAAGGTTGTTGTTAATTTCTGGCATTAAGTCTTCAACTTGCTTTCAGTAATAGTTGATACAAGTGGTTATTGGGGAGAGTTGATGCTTACTGCTGAGTAGTACCTACATTTATTGCCTTTGTTATACTTTATTTATATATATACTGGCCTAAAAACCAAAATCTAAATCTTATATTCTCAATATACAAACAATTTTATAAAGTATATATATATATCTTCCTCGTAGCTCATTCATTCTTCCTAATTATATCCAACTTACCCATTGGTAATCGTGCCCAATTACACGTTTTTTAAATAAAAATTTTTTTACTTACGTCCCTGTTTTGTGTCGTGTTGGAGGATATTTGGTATTTAAAGATTAATAAAACATTATAAAATAAATTATAAAATAAATAATTTATTATTAAATTTATTAAAATAAATGAATTTAAAAAATAAATCATCTAATATGCAGCGTTTCAAAATGATATTATGCTTGATTTTATATAAAGCACTCTATATCTAATATATATCTAAATAATAGTAACTTGAATATTACCAGAAAAGTGATGCTAATATTTGCAAACATTGGTTTAAATATTAAATTTAAATCCGCATATTTTCTTCTCTTATTTTTAAAAGAACATCTGAAACTGTCCAGGCAAAACTTAGTAGTCTCTTATCATCAATAGCATCTGGAAATTCTTCTTCATGATATGTTACATAATACCAAGCCGATGCCTTGGCTTTTGTTTCGTTAGTGATTGGAATATTTACATTATATGTATCATTGTCAACATATTGATCAATGTTATCTTGTAACCCTATTAAAAAATGCTTTCGAAATTTATGAATTATGAATGAAATTGTACCAGAGATTGATTCTCGAATGTCTTGAGTTTTTCTTCCATCAATTCGATGAAAACTAAGAATGTTTGATGTTATGATCTCGGGTTCTGTTTTAACCCTAAATTTTTTCATCAAACTACGTATTTCACTGTTATATGTGTCTCGGCACACTTCAGCTTCTTCTAAGTAATCCTCGTATCCTTGTGCGAGAAACATTCTTTTTGGAGTAATATTATCGTTTGTATCATAATTTAATAGTGGGACATGTCTCGGCTGATCGAGTTCTATATTCCTATATAGCTGGCCAAGAATCTTTTGAGATTCATATACCTTCTTTGTCTTATTCTCCATAAAATCAGGATATTCATTTGTTGTCGGTAACGATTCCGTAACAGGAACACCTGTCTTGTTAAAATCGACCGCTTTTGAATGCTGTAATGGGATGTGACATCAGTTTCAATTACAAAAAAAAATCTTAAGTCAAAAAAAAAAATGCTTTATTTACCAGTTCAGCTAATTTCAGACATTGTGGGTGAAATATACCCTCTGGATGAAAATCTGCTAATGCAAGGTGTAAGCTTCCAATCATACCAATACGATCATTTTTCATGAAATCTATAAAGAAATCATGAATATCAGAAATCACCACTGGTCTATCCAGTTTCTTCCTCTCTGGAGGACTGTAGTCCATAGGGTCATGTTCAATCTTTGGAAAAATACGCTCATCGAAACATATAAAAAATTCATCACCATCTATATTATAAAGTATAAAGAAAGTGAGAATGTACAGAAAGAATAATAAACATTAACAATTATTTGTAAAATGACATGCCTAGATCACCGCCACTCTGTTAAAAATGTGAAATATAAGAATAATGCTAGGATAAAATATAACATTGCCATAATAAGTAATACAAACCAAAAAATTGGGTAATGGTCGATCTCCTTTCTGACTGAACACGACACAGTTTTTAAGATGACTTAATTCTGGGACATCTATAGCCCAAACTGTTCTTATATCACCAGGGTGTAAACTTGGGTTTCGCGCAATTACTGTTCGGATAACAATCGTAAAAAAAAAGGTATAGCAAATATGTTATAAAAATGTAATGATCTTGAATGTATAATTAATCATCTGCTACTGTTATTGTTGTTATTGTTGTTATTGTTACTACCTGCAGGACCGGTTAACACCTACAGTTATACAATTTAATAAATATTAGTTTTTGTAAGACAATAAAATGAAAAATAAACATACTTTATGTTCTCTTCGAATTTTATTGTTAGCTGTACGAAATGTGTTATTGTCAGATATTATTGTAGATGTCTGAATATAGACTTGCTCTTCAAAAAAATATATTAAACACAGATTATTATTTTTTTATAATGTTTTGTCAGAACTTCTCATAATAAACAAATATTCCACCATATTCTACCTGGTTCAAGAATTCCAGTTTCATCAAGAACACCAAATAACATATATCCCCGTGGTACTGGGATACGCGCTTTGTATCTTAAGTATTTCAATGCAAATATTCGCTTGCATTCCAGAATTCCCCTTAGGTATGGTTCGTTACTTTCCATTAATCCCTATAAACAGAGCGGATCAAAATAAGGTACTCGGTGTTAATCAAAATTTTAAAACTTAAGTTAATAGAAACACCAACCGTTTCAATCATACTGAGGATAGTGCGAGTAACATGAGAACATTCTCTTGTTCCCGAACTTCTTTTCACGATTTCACTGGCTTTTTGAGGATTACGCATCATAGAATCAATATCCGCTTTTGCATTATTTTGAAGTCTGATAAAAATATCATCGGGAACGCCAAGTGAAGATAATACAGTAATTATCTGCCTATTTAGATGTGCAACTAACGGATTTTTCACCGCTTTTACAATTTCCAAATTTGTTGCGATCGGTGCTTCAAATTTGGTTTGACTTGGGCGTAAACATATAACATTCCCATCTAAATCCGGATTAACCGAGACAACTCCCTGGGAAAAATATGTATACACATAATTAATACTTTAAAAAAAAAAACAGTTGTGAAAAACAGTTGTTCTAAAAATTAATTTTTAAAATTAATTTGTACCTTACAACCTCCGAATCTAAACTGAAAGACAGATGGTATTTCATCATTTTGTCGTGTACCCCAGTAATGTCTAGCTGCAAGTTTTGCAAGACCTGGAGAGATATTCCCACAACCATCACTAAATGTATTAAAATAACAATTAATAATGATAATAATGATAATAATAATAATGATGATGATGATGATGATGATGATAAGCTTTATAAAATGCAAATTTATATACCTAAATATATAATTATTTCGTTCAATATCTGGAATTCTTATTATCTGATTCTCTTCTAGCTCCAAAGTGCCAATTGTGCTAGTAAAGCATTGGCCCATCCGAGCTGCATACAATGCAGGAACTTTAATTTCACTGTGATAATAAATTTCAAATCACTTTATCATCAGAAAAGTTATATAATAATATAAGAATATAAGATATAGCGATTTTATCATTTACCTAAAGTCACCCATAGTTGCACGTATCATGTTTGCATTAAGCTCATGATCAGTAGATACAAACCAGCATGAATTTTCTCGTAGTTGCGAAGACGAGAAAGCAAGAAATTCATATTGGCGTCCAGAGATCGTGAAGCCATTATTGAATATATTACTAATCCTTGAATCACATATATCCATGTATTGTTGTTCATTAACAAATAATCTATCAAAATTTTCATCTTTAAACGTAACGCGAATAAATCTATCAGTATATTCTGGATATTGTCGAAGAGTACGATTTGAAGATTCATATTCTGGACCATCAAAATAGATTTTTGTGGGTGTTATAGTAGCATGATTAACCCATGCACAACGATTAGTTTCTTTTAATTTAATGTTTGGGTTAGCTGGGTGCCATTCATCGTATTCACCTCGAAAACTTCTTAATGCAATTTCAAAGATTTCAACTGGTCGTCTATTGTATCTATCATCACCTGGATCCCAATGTTGAATTGTCATTTGATTAAGTGCATACCAAGCAATAGTTTCCTTTTCTTCACAAATAAGTTCAATTAATTTTTCACCAATTCTATATTCCATAATTTCATGTATTGTAATTGTATCATGTGAAATTAAAGATTCTAATTTAAAACCAATTCTAAATGGTAAAAGTTCAAAAGTTCCTTTAAGATAAAATTCTGAATCCTTTGATATTTGCTCACATGAAACAAAACATTTTGGAATACGAGGTTGAATACCAGGAATTGACATATTATTTAAATATTTTTGAATTTCCTCGAGATTTTCGTTAATAATCAATCTATAAACTAAAAATTTTCCAAATGCATTAACAATACCCGTCCAATCATAGGTTCTAACCCATTCCTCTTCGTTAAAACTATGATAAAGTAATCTAGTATTTGTACTTCTTTGAGCATACTTATTGGTTTTACGTAAAAGTATTGGGGAACATTTAAGTGAAATATATAAGGAAATGAAACCATTTTCAAGCTCTCGTACATCAAGAAGGATTCCCCGACGGGAATCTGATAGCCAACGGAGTGGTATTTTAATTCTTTTTTCATTTTTAAGATCAGATAATAAAGCAAAACCGTCTATAAAAATTGCATCAGATTCTTTTGATATGCATATTTTGGGTTCAATATAATAATCAGGGTATCGCCAATCACATAAGAATTTCCATCTTTGCGTTTGCAGTGGACGTTTTCCACGCCTTTTATAATCAACTATTGGTAATTGACCTGCCCAATTTCCAAGCTCGATATTTGAAACCGGAAAAGTTGGTTCATTTGCATTTATCAAGGGGTCAATGTTACGTCGTCTTCTTCCTCTCTTATTTTCTTGTATATTTAATGGTCTATTCATGCAAAATGGGGGATTATAATCAGCCCTACTCATCAGGTCATCTGCGTCGTCGTCATCGAGTGTGACGAAAGCCAAACCTCCATTGATATGAAAAGGATTATTGTTAAGCTTGTTTTTTGTTAATTCACACCTAATAATTTTTCCTTTAATGAAAGTTTCCAATGCGCCAGTCACATTAATAGCATTAGCTTCATAAGGTATATTACTGACTAGAATTTCTTTTGGCATTACAATTGTAATTATTAAAAGTTTATGAGTCAGAATCAATTTTTTATTTATTTATTATAAAAAAAAAAAACTTGTTTGAAAATATATAAGATTTGCAACTTGCAGTGTTTGGTGTTTGTATTTTAAATGATGATCTGTTTGGAATATCTTTATCGAATTTGAAAGCCAATTTCCCTAAAAACTTTATTACTGTATTATTTAGTGTTACTTTTTTTTTATTATTAAATTAAGATTCGGTTACGATAATACTAAAAACTTTGCAAGGAAACTTTTAGATAATACATAATAACATATGTAAAATCGTTTGATTGATCGGAGAAATGTTTTAGGTGGTAACACTATGACCTAACGTTACACTTTGGCGGCTAAGGTGGTATTATCCTGAATCGATTGCTAAAACGGAAATCTAATCAGGATTTTGCGTAACCTAAAAAAAATTTCTTGCGGAATTTCATCACCGTATAACAATAGTAGTGACAATAATAATGATTAGTCTCTAAATACGCAGACTAAGAAAAGTAATTGCTATTGTAATATAGCGTGCACAATTTTTTTTTTAACATTTAAGTTGTTGCAATATACAAAATTTTAAATGTGCACAAAAAAAAAAAAATTTTCCTATTTGCATTTGCACACGTGCACAAATAATTTGTTTCAGATTTTATACACTGGGTATGATTATGTTGGAGATATTATGCTATTGTAATTTAAGGCCACAATTCTATATCGATATATAAATCTAACGAAAAAAATGTTCTGTACAAGTTTCCGTAAAACATGTACTGTATCTAATTCCATGTTTGTAGGTACGTATAGTACGTATATTTTTGTATACGTACTTGTTTCTTATCAGTTATAGGGTTTGATGTATCAAAGCCTCAAATATAGTAAATCATGAAATATTTTTAGTAGTATATCATATATAATGAGAGCCACGAGTATGGAAGGAACTCTAAATTTTTAAAATTTATCCTTGATACTTATTCACCCAAATACTGACCATATTGTATTTTAGTTATATTAAAAAGAAAAAAAAAATACAATTTTTTTTTGTCATTATACGTCCCATTTAGATCCCACTCATTATAATATAAAATATTAGAAGGAAATATTTTTGTTTTACGATTAGAATCAAATCAGTTAAATTTCAACACAACTATTGCTCGAAGTGTAGATATTCGTCGTGATCGAGAAAAATCACCATTTGGCGTTTGCTTTCAAATAGGGATTCCATTACTTATATGAGGAATTGAAAGTAAGTGTCAAACGGTGGTTTTTTAGTCTTTATTCCCATATATTTTCCTATTGGGGATCAGCACTGATTAATCAAAAAAACGAAAAGGCAAAGAATCTTGCTTGAGTCTAAATATTTTGCCTATAACATCTTTCTAATCTTAGCTTCAAATCAACTATATTATTAACGTTAAATTTTATATACCGTAAATTCTCGAAATAACGGGCATCTGCGCATTATTTTGAATACGTCTATGGAAAATAATGGATGGATCTTCACGATTTACATAATACAACAGTAACAATGTGTACGAGTTGCTTTTATTGTATTAGTCAATCTTTATCGTTACGTATGATCGTATTTATTATAAAAAAGCACGAGCAGAATTATTATGAAATGCATGCTATTTTTGGATAACGGCCCATGCCCGTCAATTATTTCGAGAATTTACGATGCTTCGCCCTAGATATCATTCTAGATACCATTCCAATTAAGGAAATTTAATATGTCTATATGTTGGTTGTTTTATAATTATAACAAAAATATTTTAATACTGTAACATCAAATAAAAACTTTTAAAGTGACGCGCGATAATTGCTTGGTACTCACCAGATTCCAATAACCTAGTTTACATCAATTGCTGAGTCAGGAGATTAACTATTTGAATGATTTTATGATACAAGTTAACTGGCCACATCTATTAATCAAAATACAAATGTTTATACTATAAAAAATTCTCGATTGATTTATGAAACTTGTCTTCATGTTAATACGCATATCTATTTTCAAAAAGTTATAAAATCAGCCTACAAACAACTTTTGTTCGCTGCATTTCTCAAAAAAAAAGAACATTTACTTCATTCAATTCGAATAAAAACGATGATGTCACACTTTAAGCACTTAATTTTGTTAGTTCTCACCTTATCTTTTCTAGTTCTTAACGCCTATCCATTCCATGATGAAAACACTGACTTAGATGATGCCGAATTAACCGACCTTTCCCCGGGTCCTCAAAGTGACGATGCACTTTCCTATTTGTCGACAGAATCGACGGACTTGGAAGGAGTTCCTACTGTTACAGCTGAAGAATTCAAACCTCAACTCGAAAAACTTGTCAAAACTTCTGATCATCTCTTCGGCCAAACACATCATAAATTTAAAGTCATGATGTTACCAATTACTAAAGGATTTCATTACGTTTATAAAGTCATGGTTTTCCCCAAATTTAAATTGGGCAAACCTAAAGTTTATGATGTTTATGTGACTCCTCTAAAAAAGAAGAAATGCTTCAAGATTGTTTCTATTCCTCGCCACGCACCTAATAATTGGAAAGAAGCTACTGTTTGTATTCCACACTCTTCTAATTAATTAATGTTGACATGGGTATAGTGAATATGAATTGTTTGGTTTGTAATCTTTAGAAGAAATATAATTTTAAATAGTATAACACTAAAATATATTATGTATAAAATGATACTTTTGTATCAATAAAAAAAAATTTAAAGTATAGAATAATAAAATAATTATTTATCGTGTTAAAAATTCATAATCATTATCATAAAATAATTATCTATTGTGTTAAAAATTCATAATCATTATCATAAAATAATTATCTATTGTGTTAAAAATTCATAATCATTATCATAAAATAGTTATCTATTGTGTTAAAACTTCATTTTCATATCAGTACTTTACACAGAAAAATAACAGATTACTTGTAATTTGAGATGTGTTCTAAAGTTATCAATTTAGTTTTCTTCCTGGATTTGATTTAGTATGATAGTGTGAACTTTAGGTGGCATACAGTAATCCTATTTGTGCATGTAATCGCCGTAGGGCCTGCAAACCTATACTAAAGTTCAACCTTCTTTTTTTTTGTCAATATAAAAAGGTTCAGTGATTTAAATATATACGTATTACGATAATTTTTTTTCCTGTTTTTGGGTTTAGGTTAGAGTTAATAAAAAAGAGTAGTGTATAAGTGGACCATTATAAATATTACAGATTTAAATAGAACCCAAATTTTCGCATCAATAATTGCGGTAAGTTTGTGGTGTTAAGTCAATATAGGCAAAGTTGCCTTCTCAACACAGTTTTCATTAGTGCTCGAAATAGTTTTTACCATTCGTTTCTCGTATTTGAAATTTGGGCGACGGTATCCCCGAGTCGGGGAATGTCTTTTAGGTAACGAGATTAGTAATGATCGAACTACAAAAGCAGTTTAGTAATTAATAGTAATTAATAATGGATAATTTGGAACTTGTCTGATAAACAAATTTTTTACTTAAAAGATTCAAACAATAATTTGTTTTTTTTCAAGTGTAGGCTATTTAACATTGTAAAAGTGTGGTTATTGTTACTGTAGTGTTCCTCAGATCCGAACCAGTACGAAGCTGGTCTTATTAATTCAATTCTAAACATTCTTTATAATGGGTTTCAGAATTAACTTATTTCGCAAATAAGGTTTAAAAGATCCTACTTCTGTTTTAAAATCCCGACTCAGGGAATTAAATAAGCCACCCTAGCTTTTGTTTGATAAATATTTACCGGTAAACGATTGTGTAAATAAGTTTATACGTTAAGAAAAATAAGATTTATGGATCACATGTTTTGACGTAACTACGTCACTTATTTTATCTGAAACCGGATGCCAAATCATTAATCCTGAAACCCCCAAGGAAGCTTTGGTTTGATGAAAGTATCTCATGAAATTTTCCTTTTTCGTTTCTTTATTAAAATTCTGCTTTATTTTTTCTTTGTGAATTCCAAGTACATATCTTTTGAATTCACTTTTAGATATTCATGCGTTCAAAATAGCCCTTCACAAAATTTCACAAATTTTAGTGATATTATGAAACATGGATGATCGTGAAACAAATGCATTTGATTGGTTAGGGTTAGTTATGTTTTCACGATCATTTATATTTCAGCATCATCCCCAAAATTTCTTATCGTTATGAATATACATTAGTTACATTAGTTGATTTTCGGTTAGTGGCACTGGACTCTTAAGATATCGGGTATTGGCTGGGATTATTCGCATTATTTACATATCATCGTCTTTTTATATAATGATATCTTAGTTGGAGTTGGAGTTAGGGTTAATTGACAACATTGCACCAAATTTTGCAAGGAACTTTTTTTTGTTAGTACGCAAAAGGTGATGTCTTAGGCGAAATTTTGATATTAATGTGACTTTTCAAAAAGACCGATTATTTTTGGGGAAGCCTACGAGCCTAAAACCTGTATGTAAAAAAATTGGAGTTTTCTCCGTATCGGACTTAACATAAATCAACATATTACGTCTAATATGCATATCGGCTGATCTGTACAGTTTAATAAATGTTTATTATTAAACCGTGCAAATAAGCCTATATGAATTTGTACGTATGTACGTAAAAAAAAAAAAAAGTGGTTTGGCTATGTTACACTTGATTTTAAAGTTTAAAATCACAGGAAGGAACAACTTTTGGGCAGGGACCACCAAAAATTTGATTATCAAACCATTTGGTTATCATTTGGTTATTAAATCGCAAAAATTTATTTGGGTACTGACCAAAATTTTGAATAGAGAAGTTTAAATAATAATGTTATAATGAAAGTACCAAAATAAATATGTTTAAATTGTATAATATAAAATGTATAATTTTTTATCTTGTATAACTTTGCAAAAATTTGGTTTCACACTATACTAGAATGTATATGTTGTGCGTGAAATTAGAATGCATCAGATTGAAACTTGAATCGGAGATGCGCAAGGTCAAAA